CTAATCATTCCAAGAAGATGGCGCTGTCCAGTGAAAGAAGACGAAAGGCAGCAGGCAGCTCGAGCGTGAACTGAAATGAACAGGAACTTCACAGACGTCCAAAAATCGTCCAGAATCTCCCTGGAACTCGCACACTGCCCATCCCTCTCTTGTGACCTTCAAAAGCAGCCGCCACAGAGACGTAGAATCGTCCACGTTACTGTAGCGCACAATCACACATCCAGCATAACAGCTGCTGCATGCCTTTAGCTTGCATCCCAACAGCCGCAAGTAACGTGTCCTCGGATGTTGTCGCTTTTCGTCACTTATCGCTAACACGATTGCAAGCAAAGCAAGCACAGAGGATATTTCTCGTGGTCGCGTCTTCTGAGCCACTCGATCAGGTGAGCGTTTCAAATGTTTGTCCGATGAAGATGAGTACTCCGAGCATCCGTTGCTTCCTCCGTCACAGCCAGCGCTCTCTCTTCAACTTTTGCTAGTGGCCAAGTTTCGCATCTGTACGTTCCTGCCCTCAACATGGTGGTACTGCAGGTCCGCGGCTGCCCGGTCTCCTCCGACATACGTTCTGCTGATGGATAGTGAGCTGCGGGATCGTGATCCAGAAATGAGTGTCTAGCCGCACAATCTGAGCCGAAATGTTGGCGCCAAATGAAACAAAGTAACCCGACGCGTTCCTCACTCGCTGACCTCGTGCCTCCAGTACTTCGTTCATCACAGCTTTGTTCGCAGTTCGCGGTCCATTACAGCCTAACTGCCTGGCCTGCCCGTTGCAGTTCGCAAGTGCTCTAACGCAGGAGATTTCCGAAGTAGGTTTCGAGCTTACGAGAAAACCGGTCACCCTTCTGGACCAGGGAACTATTCTTGCTTCCACAACAGTCTCCACATCACTCCCACTGATTGCCGCACTACATGCGCTCGTATTATAGTTTCGATGAAAAGGATAGTTGGTATGATGTAGGGCGAGCGAGGTGGGAACGCAAGCAGAGACAGAGAGAGACACAAGCGGATACAATGAAAGTTAGCTTTATATTTTAATCAGCGAAAAAATGGTACATACAGTGATGTGATAAGGTTGGCAAAATGAAAAACTGTAACTGGTTTCACTCGCATCTAAAAAGCAACGATACACACGTGAATAATGTTAGCAGCGAAATGTGCAACAGAATGAAGATGATACTTCTCCTGAACGTACCAGCGCCTATCCACCCAAAGTCATCCGAACCGGGTCAATTTGCTACTTCTGGAAATTCACAGAAACAGTATCCGATAGCAGAATACTGCTTTCCGTTCAACACATACCACCATAAATATGGGAGAAAAAAAAAAATCTTCCTTTCTCGTCTACTCTGTCTAATCATAGGGACTAAACCGTCAACAGCCCCAAATTTACAGCTAATGCTTTTGGCTCCGAACATCCGTGAAAATTCATTTTCCAGACACCAGAAAAGAAAAGTGGCAGGAAAGTATCAAGATTAAAAAAGAAAAAAACCAAGTAAACAGGACCTGGTCCAACCGAGAAAGTATGAAGGATAAAGTTATCAACGATAAATGATAATAATGACGATGACGAACACGTATACGGTCAAAATACGTGACTATAGCGGGGATAAGATACAGCTTCACAAAAAAAAAGAAAATGATATTTATTTTTATGCAAATAAATACGTATTAATTTTTAAACAACC